TTCTATGCAATTATTTGAACTGGAAAGCTAGACATTCTTTTTTCTTCAAAACAGAGCATTGTGGCAACACTGTAACAGTATATATTTAACAGTTCAAAAAATAAATAAAAATAATATTCAATAGAACGACTAATTACTGAGAAGGTACCTCTAATGAGATGGCTCAAAAGTTCAAAAGAAAACATATGTTCTGTTTGTGTCAATCATGGTATGAACCCAAGATGCCCGAGTGACTAGTGCCGTTCTGAAGGCAGTAGTAATTGACATTCCAAGCTTCAAAGAATTACCAACCTGGAAATAGCATCCCCTACAGAAAACATGATTTAATAGCCTACTTAACATGTTCCTAGATTGATGCAAAGATTGTTTCTCTGAAAATAAAAATAGAACAGAGAAGTTCACAAGTTTCCAATTCTTTTTAAGTGTATTCGAGACAGTATATTCAGTTAATGTTTGTAGAGAAATGAATAACACGCAAACATAATAATCCTATCTTTCGGACACATAGCTACTAAAATTGGATTCTGTAAGCTCTTACACTAATTATGGGATGATAATGCAAGCAACAAATCTATGTGTCACATAACTATTTGAAATGTATGAATAGCAACCATCATTTATGGGGGAAGGCTAAAACTGAAAACTACTAGGTTCCTAGAGGATCCTAACCAGGGATTAACATGTCCTAGTGCATTTCAGCCAACAGAAGATAGGGTTGAACTGGAACAGTTTAAAATACTGCACATGGAACTGCCATTCAACTGTTTTAGATTTTTTCAAAAAAGACATCTTTGTGTTGTTTGCACAAAGCACTCATTAATTATGGGCAAAGGCTAACACCTGCAGACTAAGGATTTGTTATTTGGTTAGTTTGTCGTAAAAAAGACCACATGTTCTTCTCCATAATTGTCTTCTATTATTAATTCTTTTAGTTACTAACAGGCCAATGGCCTAGCGGTATCAGCCTCTTACTTCCCAAAGGGAGGTCAGGGGTTCAATTCTCAGAAGAGACAAGTGTGTGTGAGTACCAACTAGGAAAAAAAAATTCTTTTAGTTTTGTATGAAGAGTACCATATATTCCATTAAAACCATTCTTTTCCCCGTGGGGTGGGGAGCAAAAAAAAAAAAACAAGAAACAGAAACAGAATAATTAAAAGTAGCTCTTAATATTCACTCTTGACAGTCCCACTTTTAGAAGAAAGACAAGCTCCCTAATGTTTTTTATCTGGCTACCACATGCAAGATAGGCATGAGAGTCTTTTTTACAAATTTTGCTTAGTTACCATAATGATGTACTACACCTTGAGAATACTTATGGTGCAACTACCTGCAGCAATAGGGTGAGCATGGACTTGTTGTGCATTCTAGCATACAGTGAATAAAGAAGACACTATTCCAGACACAAACCTTTGGACATACATGACGTCGTGACACGGGGCCTGCACAGTAATTTAAATCTCATCACAGTCAGTATTTCTTGCATATGTTCTGTACTTCCTGTAATATTTATTTATTTATATGTTTATATTTAGAATAGGGGTTCTAATATGTTATGGGGCAGGTGCTGAGAAATTAATTCTTGTAAAGGTAAAGAGTTCAAAACTCCCAAGAGATGGCGCTCATCCAGCACATAGCATGATGAAGGGTTGTGTCTTGGCTTGAGAGAGAGAGAGAGTTTTAAATTTTTGTAAATTTGGCTTAGACTTTTCCAGAAATAGGGAGTATTCTAGGTTTTAGTAACAACCCTGCATAAGTTGATGGCATTTAAAGGTGTAATGAAAATGGCGAACTATGAAGATTGCAATTCTTGCTGTTATTTTATTTTTTATTGCAGATTCAAACCTAGAGGTGAACTCCTTTGTGAGAATTCCAAAGGTAGGTGCTCTCTCTCTCTCACCATATTGCTTACTCATTATAACAGTCCATATAATCTTAATTTTATTTTTTCTGCAAAGCAAATTCTTTAAAGTAAGGGAAAATGACGAGAGAAAAGGAACGCATCTCTTCTAAAGAAGCAAATAAAAATAGAAAAAGAAAGGAAAAACTAACACAAACACGAGAGCCAACAGGAAGACAAATCATGTATCCCTGACCAAAAGAAAGGAAAGAAGAAGAAGAAAGGAATAAGACCTTCCAAGAAAGAAGCTCCTCTCTTGTCCTTCAAATACTCAAGACTATATGAAGGTCAAAATTATCGTGACATAAGTGGAAAAACTTGTAAGGAATCATAGACTAGTTCAAACTTCATTCAATGAAGTTAGCAAGACACCTTCTCCTATAATTTGACGATACCCCTTGCTCTAACTTTGTCAAACTGACAGAGTAATGCAAGACATTCTACTTCAGAGTCTCCTCAAAAGCATCATGATTTCTGCAAATACCTCCACCTGGATTCTTGAGTGGACAACTATGAATTTACTAATTTGTCCATCCATATGGAGGATACAAGAATGCTGAGATGAATGATTCAGGTATCAAGAGGCGGTTGCTTCCAAGTCTAAAGTAAATGCTTGGAAATCTTTCATTTATTGGGCGCATAATAGGGATTCACTCTTCCAAAGCCACAACTCAGGAAAAGAACTTCAACCCCAAAAGGGAATATTTTTGCCAAAAACATAGCAGGAAAGGACAATAAAATGGAGAGACCAAAGCAAAGAAGAGCATGAACAAGCCATTCACCAGAAAATCGAGTGAAGGAAGACATTCTTGATGAGTTCTAGAAGAGATGAAAGCTCGTCATTGCTAAATTCACTGGTGAAAAAGTTCTGAGGCAATCCTAAATAAGAAAGACTGTGAAGATTACCTGTAGATCTATTAGGTAACTGTTTACAGCAAGTATCCAAATAACAAAATTTCACAAGAACAATCTCACTGCCAAAGGTCTTCTCAAAACCCAATTGGACTATCAACCAACATAAGTAGCGTAGAACAATCTCACTTCAAGCTCTTCTACCTTTTTGCTTTTCTTTCTTCAACTTTCTTGCTGGATTAAAATCAAGCCATAACAATATTGCAGAAAGAGCTCTGGTCCTCAAAACCACGTCATTAATGACCAAATTGCAAAGAAGTATGCAACTCAATTGTAGCATTTTTAATAAAATGTTTGACTTGCCTTGTAGTGGCCATATGTGCAAATATTAAATTACTAGAGAAAGGAAGGTTGGATGTTTTAGGCGTGTTCAACTTGATTCCAGGAGTTTTTGTGCTGCATAATTTATGTGTTGGGAGTGTCTCAGCTAAATGTCCAAAACAATGAAATTTACTTAAAACTATGGGTACATCCATGAGGAGTCAAAAAAAAGTTTCTAGGAGCTCCATAAGGAGTCAATGTCTTCGACGTGTTTGAAACTGACACAACACATTTGTACAAGTCTTCTCCTTATGTGAAAAATTATATGCAAATTTTTCCACTTCAAAATAAATTTATCTGTCACAGAAAAAGAGTAATTGTGATCACATTTTTGTAAAATCGCATTTCAGTTCCTAATTCAACTTAAAGAAGGAAAAACAAACAAAGTATAGAGGACCAAGTCTCAATAAGGTAGAGAATGTTTTAATGACATTAATAATTAATGAGAAAACATGTAAAAGAATGAAGGAATTGGTTTGCTACACCATTAACATTTGTGAGGAGGTAAGTCTATACATGCAAGCATAGGAATTGGTTTCCTACACCATTAACATTTATGAGAAGGTAAGTCTATACATGCAATAACTTTCAAATAAAATGAGTATGGGTCAATGTTTTATATGTACATATACAGAAACGAGAACTTACGTTTCAGAAAGCTTCCCTGGCACCCACCATTGTCAGGAGTTGAATATAAGAACATCCGAATCAACCCACTTGTTGCTAATATCATCCAATTTGTCCAATTTAAGTGATGATCTAACCCTCTTTGGACCATGTTCAGGAGCCCAATTGTGTTGCACAAGGAACACTGATCTGAAAAACTCAACAGTGAAATTAAAGGAACTGAACCTCACACCCAAGAACCTAATTTGTTTTGTTATCTTATTCCCATTAACTTCAGAAACACTCCTCTTATCCTCGACCCCAGTCATAAGAAAACAAATCAAAGACTCCCACTGTGTTCTACTCATTGAATCACCAACAAAAACAATCCTTTTGCTTCGAAGCATTTCCAAAATACTCTGCACATTGAATCTTGGAATGTCACAATTCTTGGGCTTCCATTTCCACTTAATGTAATCTTCATCCCTCCGTCCATTACCCAAGCAATCGAATCCTTGCTCTGCAAAAGGGCATTCTGATGCATTGTACAATATGTATCTATTATCCAATACCCAACTTCCATCAAACACATTGCAGGCATCCCAAGAACCATCGGATTCGGAAACATAATACCCATGAAAGGACCGAGCTAAATTGGGGAGGACATATATGTACCCACCACCTAAGGCCAAAGAGAAGGAAACAACAGACCCAATTGACGATAAGCACAATAAACAATCTTGAACAGCTATTTCGATTCACTCTTGGGCTGCTCAAACTCGAAACCCTACGGTTGAAGGAGACGCTTCTATTGAAATTGTTCATCATATTTTAATGTTACGGATTTCCCCTATTTTCTATTTTCATACTTTATTTGATTTATTTTAATCCGTATCTGGTTTTGCGTGTCACACGAGCCCCGATAGACGTTTTGGTTATTCAATGAGTCGGTTTTAGAAATGTATTTTTGATTATATTAAGTCAATTAACAGTATCAATTTTAAATTTTTAGGAAGTTCGGGTTCGAACACGGATATATCTTTTGTTTTTTTTTGTCATTTTAAAAAAGGAGCATAGTAGACTTTTCTCATAATATATATATATATATATATATATATATATCTATATTTATATATTAGAGGTAGATATTTGTGAAATGTGAATGGTATTGTGTATAAAGTTTAAGGGTAAGATGGTAAAATGACCAAAAGTTGATTTATTAAAGCTTGACAAGTGGCATACTTAAAACCATGGAACTATTGAATAAAAATCAACCCAACTCCTTTTCCTTTTCATTCGGCCGAGAACCCCCCCCCCCCTTCTTTCTCTCTGGTTTTCCTTTTTCCACCTCTATATATCTATACATCTATATACACAATTGCCTCCATTAATTCAAGCCTTGATTTGAGGTGTTTAGAGTAAGGTTTTGGAGGTGACCAAGAACGGAGGTTGGAGAGCTTGGAAAGATCTTCCATATGGCACCCATATTGCTAGGGTTTGGATAATTTCAAAATTAGGACTAGCTAAGGTCTTGTTTGGTTTGCTATCTTGAGATAGGGGAAGTCTAAATTACAAATTCTTATGATTTTTGTGAGATTCTATGTATTTTCTTATATGAAAATCTTGATATTGTGAAGCATGCTTAGTTTGTAGCTTTCGGTTATGATGTTAAGTATGAGATAATGTTGATTTAATTGTTTTGGATTGAGAATATGATGGTTTCTTATATTTGTGCCAAGCTTGCTATTTTCTATTAGAAAATGTGGAAGTATGAATTATGTGACTAATTTTTATGTTTGGGTGTTTGATATAATAATCATAATGTAAATAATAACTTGCATATTAATAAATGGTAGTATGATATGCATATTTTTGGCATGGGATGAATTGAGAGGGTGAAGGTTTGATGCAAGAGAAAATGTTAGGAAGTGAGATGAATGAGGGTGTTGTAAGTTAAGGTGGTGGTTAAAAAGGTTTTAGTGAGGATTGGGTTGGAAAGGAAGAAAAGAACATTTGCATTTCATGTTTGATGGTATGGTTTATGAATTAGTGAAATTCATGTATGATTGGTATGACTCGTAATTTCATGATCCATTTTCTTTGATTGTGGCTCACGAGATTTTTAGGAATGTGATTTAGGCATTTTCTATTGAGCTGTTGAGCTCACCCAATTATTATTAACATTTTTCAGGAATTCGGAGGTGAGCCGGTGAATGATATGCATTCACGGACATTGATGTAGTTAGGAATTCATTTCAATTGTATCAAAGCCATGTAATTTTGGCCATGGAGGCCTCATTTTCTGTATCTAATTCTTTAGAAGTTGTACAAAAATGAGATTTGTATAATTCAATCTTTAAACGATGCATTGGACTCGTATTCAGTTTAATTAAAAGCATGGGAGTTTGATTATATTTTTTTACATTGTCAATTGCATATTTGGGAACGGGATTAGACTTTAATTAAGGTCACTACTGGACCTAAGGAGTGCCCACATGCATGTGTTTCAGTTTTAGGCATTTTTCTGGACATTTTTAAGGTTCTGGACTTGGGGAACTAGTACCTCATTCTGGAACCGATTCAAGGATTGTTTTGGTTTACGTTTGGGCTTTCTGTCCATGTGGAACCGGTACCAAGATTTGGGAACTAGTTTCAGCCCTCCAATGGGCTTTTTACCTTTCACAGTTTTATCAGCTTTGATCCCTAACTTTGGATAGTCATAATTTCTTCGTTTCAAACCCAAATGGGGTCATTCTTGAGTCCATTTTCAATGAATTTGAGTTAGCTTTCCAATGAGACCAATCACATCCTCAAATTCCATTCATGTTGAGAGTTATGACTATTTTAGTAAAACAGTGTCGAAATTTTCCTTAAATCGGGTAAGGGTACTTTTGGAAATTCATAACCGATGACCGCAGAACTTCACCGAGTATCATGGAATGACTAGAATGATTATTTTAAACCTCATTTGACTAGTTTAAGGATGGATTGATCTCTCATATTATAAAATGACCATTTTACCCTTAGTGTGTCATCGGGTTTGGTTAATGATCCGATTAGCGATTCGGACCCCCGGTTTAAGTCGTTACATTTATAACTCATACCACCAAGTGTTCGCGCGGTTTTTAAAGATTCAGAGAAAAAGGTCTGCATTGTATGAACACTTATGCAATCAATTTATATCGAAGAATCGATACAAGAACAATCAACCCAACAGTTATTATACCAAAATCAGTTCAAATCAATGTGGACGGAGTCGAAGCATTAAGAGAGTCTCAAATAATCAGAAAAAAATAGTCCCAATAAAAGAATTTGAGAGAAATATACAAATAATTAGCGCGTAGAATTTAAAGCTCAGAAACAAAGGTATATGTAATCAACCATGGGTTTTCCGAGGAGTTGCAGAGGATCAGAGATTCAGTTGAACAAATCGCGTTGGTGGGTTGAGAGGTTTGAAATGACATGGGGGGAACATGGGTTGGTTGGAAGCAGCACCTGCAAACAGGAAAAATGCCTTGTTGAGGGCATTTTGGTAAATCTGTACGTAACAGAGTAATCATAATTTTAAGAAAAAAGTTGAAAGAGAGACAAAGAAATTAATTAATGATCGGTTTATTATTGAAATAAACAAAGGATTTTATTTTATTTTTTTCTTTTTCTGACCATGGTGGTCGGCATTTTTAGGTTACCCAAAATCCACCTAGGGACATTTCAAAAACTTTAACTAAAGTTTGGTGGTCCTAAAATAAATGTCAATCCAAAAAATTTTTCTGTCTTATTTAAAAAATTAAAGTATTAAGGAGGTTTTTATTATTATTATTATTATTATTATTAAGTAAACCATTAACCATCACATATTCGTGGATCCACTGTGAATAAATTTGGTAAAAATTAAAGTATTACGGATGTTTTTTTTTTTTTATTTTATTTAAAGTAAACCATCACATATTTGTAGTTCTACTGTAAATAAATTTGGTAATTCATTCCCTGCCAAATTACCAATAGAATAAGAAATATATTAAAACTCATTATTTTAAAAAGTTAGATTATGGGACATTTATTTTGGGATGAATGAAATAAATAATTGTGTAATATTTTTTTCTTGGTCAATAATAGAATTTAAATTAACTATTAATTGCATATTCAAATCGTCTCCAAATATATATTGTCATTTGTATTTTGAATATTATAGTATCACTTTGAAAGTGAGTTTTATTTGAGAAATTATTAGATGGTTTGGGATCATATGGGTTTTAGTTGAGAAATTATTAAATGATTCGGGATTATATGACATTTGGTAGACTACTTAAATAAAAATTAATGTTAAGATTTATTTGTAATATATTAATACACTTTTGTGAATCCTTTTCTCAATCCAAGAATCTGGATTAAAGTGGTCCATTATCCAAAACCATTTAATACAATTGACCACTGTTTTATTAGTTGAACAACCTAATAAAAGGTTAACACAATATTAACAATGATACTGTATTATAGCCGGACTTCTGTCAACATTGAATAATTCCCGATATGGGGCAGTGATGTTACATAAATATACAATCACAATTATTTATGACTCACAATTAATCATGATTTTTTTAGTTGCTTTGCAAGAGAAAATCGAGAGAAGATACTGAGTTTTAAGAGAAGAGAAGAGAAGAAAAGATAGAAATTAATATGTGCAATGTTCGACATTTATCTCTATTTACCAACATGGCTTTTAGGTCACAAATATTTTATCCTCTCATATCATATCATATGGGAGATTGAGGGCCCCGGCACATATTCACACACACACTAGATATGAATTTATTATCATTGTTTGGAGGAACAAACACTACCAATTAAGATCACACACAAAAACACATATATATTAAGCAAAAAAACACATATATATTTGGTCCCAAAAATGTATTGGGTTTTACAATGGAATATTATTAAAGGAATCCGTTTGAGATGGGTCTTTGAACTGGGCTTTGATCTTGGGGCTACTTTGTAATTCATTGGACTTTTGGTTGGGCTACTAGTTTATTAGTTTCTTTGGGCCATGTGCCTTTGTTGATCGTGTGACTAATTGTACTTAACAATACATTTGCTTGAAGAGATAACAGAGCTTTTAGAAAAAAAAAAAAAATTTTAAACGAATTGAAAATAAAAAAACTGTACAAAAATCTATTGCATGCTATTATTGGCTTCGGGTCCATGACGAGGATGAATTTAGGCTTTTGTTGACCTATTGCATACGTTTAATGTTTGTTTGGTCTGTAGATCAGTTTTCTTGGTCTAGTTCTAGCTTTTAGGTTGTATTGAGGGTTTGAGCTACTGCTCCGGTGAGCTTTACCTTTGTTTTTACCTTATTTACCGAGAAAAATATTGTTGTCGTTGCAACATTACAGACGATTTTTTTTTTTTTTTTTTTTTTTTCTCAAAAAAATTATTCATTCTATCAACATTAGAGTCTGAATTTTTCGTTCATTGTCTTCTGGGTGAAAAAAGAAAAGTCTTAACAAATGTTTACAAAGTATTGGTCCCAAAGAGGCTCGCTCTCAAACTCCGCACGCGAATTTGCATTTTGGGAACAAATTTGAGAATTCAATTTTTGTAATTTGCCAATTTGTTTTCCTAATTCGCGATTTTCATACAAATTTACTTTATATACCTAATTTTGTTAGAGTCCCAGTGATATAGAACACATGTATTACCATATATATACATTCATTACTTACACTATTACTCAATATATAAATTAATTACTTAAATTTCGCAACTGTATGGCATTGTTATACTACCCCCACACACACATATAAATTATACATGTTTAAAAATATACTACTAAAAAACTGCCCAATTAGAAAATATTACAAATAAATCACGCATCTATTACTGAAAAAAGTTAACTTATTCATTACATATATGATTAATGGAATAAATAATCATGAAAATATTTGCATACGGATTTAAATAAATAAAAAAATATAAAATATATATGTGATGACCTGATATAATTTTATTTAAACTTAATGTACATACGCTCCCGTTTTAAAAAAATTTAAACTTTGACGTATTCGCACGCTTGCTCCCGCTCCTGCTCTATGTGACTTAGGTTTGAGCTACTACTCTGATAAGTTTTGCCTTTGTTTTTACCTTATTTACCGAGAAAAATATTATTGTCGTTGCAACATTAGTGAAATTTACCCTTTGGATGAAATTTTTCCCTGCAAAAGGTCTACATTGTTGCAGTGTGCAAGTTTAGCTTGAAGACCTTTCATGTACTCCATTCGTCTTAAAATTCTTCTCCACCGTTTTATTTTGAAATGTCTCGAAATACATGTGTAATTTAAAAAATTAAATATATTATTTTTTATAACATTCTCAAACTAAAAAAAAAATATTGTACCGTTCTATTTTAAAAAGTTGGATCCCTCAAAAACCTGAAGAATTTTGGGAAAGAGTAGTGTGTGTGTGTATAACTTGATTTAAGGTCAACCCCATTCAAATGGAACCGAAATAAGGATGATGATTGATGTAAAATCAACTCTCTGATGGTTCTCGGCTGTACAAGAGAGATTTCTGCAAACCTATATTTGTGAAGTAGCATTGATTTAGTGAACATATACATGTACTGTTCTATCTTTCTGCTGGTTGACCTCTATGCATGGATGAGCTTCAAATGATTGCCATATGAGACTTGAAAAAAGAGAAAAGAGTGACAGAAGAAGGGTATTAATCGGTTGAATGGCGTTTTCTTCTTTTATAGTTCATTCTAAATCACATAAAGTAAGAACGAATGTAAAATTAAATGACAAAATTGAAGTCATACATAGTGGTAATGAAAACGAAAGTGCGTTAAGCATGAGAGTGGGAGTGCTCGGAGTACCAAAGCGACACCAATTTAAAAGAATTATCCGAGTTCGGTTAGACTAGTCATGCACCAGGTAATGCATTAATTATATGTAAACATCAAGTTTATATCATGCATCTTCATAATCATTAGTACAATATTGTGACAACTTGATCGGTTTTATGTTACAAGTGAGACTTGTTCCTCACATCGGATCCTGATGGGAATTGAAATATGCATAAATGGATAAGTATGCAACACTACTTAACAATTTAAACTTTTGAATAAATGGACAAGCGACCACCCGTTACACTTTAGTATTACATTAATTTATGTCTGATTTCGAACTATATATGCTAGACGAAGCGATCATGTTTATATCATGCACCCTCATAATCATTAGTACAATATTGTGACAACTTGATTAGCTTTACTATTACATTAATTTATGTCTAAGAATGTATCAAATTCTATCCACGAACACCTAAACATATGAATTGCTAGCTTTGAAATTGTGTTATAAGCTCACTTAATTTCTTAGTCACATGTACATATTAGCTTAACTTCGTTACATATGCATATATAGGCATACCCATGTGTATTTAGACAGTTAAATACACATATATTATTAGCTAATTCTGATGCAGTGGTCCTATCCCGAGAAGCAAGACTAGATGAACAAATCAAAATTATTCATTTCAAGTATATAATTAATGCCAGTTAATTCCAAAATGCTAATTAATACAGCCTAACAATTCATTAAGACTGATAGAGACCTAGTTAAATATATAATTCATTAATTCTGCTGGACAAGCTAACAATTCATTAATTATGGTCTAATACATAATTGCTATATAGTATTCTGTAAAGAAAAGTTCCAAGTCATTACAAAGTCGTAAGAATTACTAATAGAAAACTTCAAAATATATATAATTAAGGTCTCTACATAAGGTTTCAACTCGCGTTTTCGGAGGATTTTCTTTGAATTGTACAATTATTAGAACAATCAAATAAGGGTCGAGAACTAACAATGATTTTTTTTTTTTTCGTGTAGAAGTAAAAGATTTGTAGTATATATTCTCTGATTACTATATATTTTCTCATCGTGGAACACATGATGCAAACAAAAACATACCAGCAAGCGTGTGCAATATATTGATGCAAATAAGCAAGTAATTATTAGACATTCTATTCTTATATGTTAATTCCCAATTTATGTACTTTATCAGCATCCATACAATCTTCATGAGTGCATATGCAAGCACAAAAACATAAATATTATATATATATATATATAGATAGATAGATAGACAGAGAGAGAGAGAGACAGATATGAGGGTGGTATAATGATATTCAATAATGCCTCACGTCACAGTTTTATTCCCGGAAGAGAGTCAGCCAAACAAACTTTTTCCGGCAAAGTTTCATAAGCCTTATTATTATTATATATTATACATATGGTTGTACGTAACTCCAGATAGCCGTTATGATTGTTCTAGTGCCCCTTAGTCAACATAATCCTAACAACCCTTGTTTGCACATGACAACCCTCCTAAACTCAACCCTTAAATTTTACAAACACCATATCAATTAGCACCTAACTATACTAGCTTATAATTATATTATAATAATTACCTCATAAATTGAAGCACATAGAATCCGAGTCCCCGGTGCACCCAAAGGCGGCGTATTCGTGTCCGGTCAGAGGCGGTTCCGAGGAGGAGGAGGCAGATGCAAGTAGCTGCCACTCCCTGGCGGTGAGGTGGGCGGCGGTGGCCGGAACTCCATCAATGCATGGTGGGTTGTGGATAGGATTGGATTGGAGTTGGCGGATTTGTCTCTTCAAGAACTTGACATAGCAGATGGCTTCGTCCAGCATAGACGCAGTGTCCATTTTGGTGCCACCGGGAACAAGTCTCTGCAGAACTCTCATCTTTTCGCTTATCCTCTCGCGGCGGAGCCTTGCTGCCACACTTTGGGGGTCATCACTGATCTTTACATTTCGCCTTTTGGGTTTTCGGATTGTTGATGGATCGATGTCTACTGGTTGCATCGCGGCGATCTTGTACATCATCTCTTTCATGGCGCCGAGCCCTTCTTCTTTGTCATCGTCTTCATCTTCAAATTGGTGATCTTCGAGAATGGGGTTGTCAAAGAGGGTTGAGTTGGGTATTGGGGTGGTGGAATTAGATATTGATGGGAGTTGATGGTGATGATGATGATGAGTTGGGAGGGGATGATGATAGTTTGGCCAGAGAGCAATATCAGAGGGAAGTTGATGATGATCATGGAGGATTTGGTCTTCCATGGCTAGGCCTAATTCCCAATTGGCAGCTGTGTTTGTGATCAGCTTATTGTGGTTGAAATCCATGAGGCAAGTGGACTTGTGGGTTGGTGACTTGGTGTAGAGAAAAGAAAGAAAACCCTCCTATTCAAAATGTGTTCTTGGAGTGCTATTTAACTCATATATATATAATATTAGCTATATAAGCATTCTACAAGAGGACATAAGATGATGCAAGAAAACTGTGGCTTTAAGAAGCTTGATGACACGTGAAAAGGTTTATGAGAGAAAGGGAGAGATTTTGGCAGATGTGTAAGGAACCGGAAGGATGAAACAAAGGATTGATAATAATTATAATAATAATAAAAAAAATATTATACACATGTAGTAAGTTTAACATTTATTATTTTAACCTCCACTAAATTCATTCATCACTGCAACATCAAATTTAAGGGGATGTCAAATTAATAGATGCTCAAATATTCGAGCCCCACAACGCAGAAACTATTAAGTCACTATATTATTACTCGGTTGGTTAATCTATTTTACTTATGGGTAGATAAGTTAGATTGATTGACGGTAAATTCAATTTCAATCTAATATCTGAAGGTATAAAACCATGAAGTTTAAATTTAAGCAAATTTAACGATGCAAAAGGGTTTATCCATGTGTAATTTGTCCAAACTTCAATAAAGGTCAATATAATTTGCTCAAAACTATTTGAATAATACTTGTTGATGTATCAATATATCATGCTCTTTATAATATTGAAACAAAAATCATAAAAGAAAAAACAACACAAAACACTTAACTCGTTTGCAATTAGGTCAAACTAATCTGAAACTGGCTAGGAAAATGAATATGAATGGGGAGTGGAATCGCTCTTCACCCATCAAATTGGTAATGTAAGTCCTACACTCGAGCCCCACAACACTCATTCAGTCGGCTTTCTGAAACTATTTAGTCTATGTATCATTACTAATTTGTTGGTTAATCTATTTTACTTATGAGTAGAGGGGGTAGATTGATTCACGAATCAACTCAATTTCAATCTAAAATCTCAATGTATAAAATTTTCAATGAAACTTAAATTTAAGCAAACTTAACTTTTCCAAACCGGTTAAAATTTCTAAGCATAAGTGGATATCAAAGTTAGTTACAAAAAAATTAAAAAATTGAATATATATATATATATATATATATATATATATATATATATATTTTTTCCGATGTGTGTGTAAATTATACACACCTATTTGAACTTGGTGTTTTCTATATATGATAATCATGAACATGAGATCGAGCTGCCAAGAAATTTAGAACAAGAAATGAGTCAGAGTAAGATCAAAGAAAGAAGAATAATGAAGCTAACCTCATTGAATGGACCACTTATAGCACAAAATAATGACAATATAAATGAAATTATTTTCACCATCTATCCATGTTCTGGAAATTAATCGTTTACACGGATCGATGTAATAATTACCATAGGCCTAATTCAAGAAACATCCACATGCAAGATTCTTTCATACATCAACATCATTGACATTAATCAATTCATCTTCGGTTGTTGTATGCATCATCGATCAACCAAGTACCGTGCGTAATTCAAACCAATCAATCTTTGAATTAAAAGAAGCAGTTAATGCATACATGCAAATATAAAAATTAATTCATGAATGTAAAAGCATCCATTAAGCTAGCTAAGTGACCTTAGCTAGGGTGTTTATATTAATTTGATGTGTTGTAATGGGAATTAATGGATTGATACCAATAAACCTTCTTGTTCCATAACTACTACATGAACAAGTCCTTAAAATAATTAGCTGTTTTTCAGTCTTCTCATGATACATAGGAATTTATATATGTACTACTTAACAAAAAAAAAATTCCAAAATGTTAAGTTGTTTTCCACCCATATAGGCTTGAACTTCTAGGAAAATAAAAATGAATTTGTGAAGGTATATATATATATATTACAAAAGGTTGTAGTTGAGTGAGATCTTCACTATTTTCTAAAGTGAAATGTGAGAGTTTGAGTTCCTTCAGAAAAAGAGTGTGTGGCTTTCTTGTCAAGAAAAAATTACGAAAGCATTTAAAAATTTTCAAGAACATTAGAAAAAATATTATCATTATGCAGTGTGGTACCATTAATCAGGGGTGAATATACAAAGTGAATATTTTCAAGTTCGAATATGGATTCTCACACTTGACATAATATATAAATATTATATAATTAAGCTCTTTAAATTAGATAGACACGTTCAATTTATTTTGAATAAATTATACTGATCTCCCTTGAAGTGTTCATTCAAAATTTATTATTTTAATATCTCATAAAATTTGGTGTGGTGTGAGTGCTCAATGACACTCCTAAGCGTTTTTTTTCATGCAGACTTGTTAACCAAATTTTATAAAATGATAATTGTGGCCTTCACTTGTATAAAATGCAATATAAAATAGGGATTATTAAGAAAAATATGCTGTTTTGGAGGCTAATTAAAAAGTCATGGAGTCAAAGTTTAAATTTTTCACAGTCATGGATTTTTTTAAAAGTTTGAGATGAATATGGAAAACACTGTTCATTTGCCTAAATTACCCTTAATATTTGTAGGTACCACTTTTGTGTATATGTAAATACCACTCTTGTACTTAGACGTACCCTTTTATGAACGTAAGTACCACTCTTATGCACAAATGTACCATTTTTGTGCAGACCATTTTGTAACTTCGATTTGCTAAAAAATGGTACATGCAGGTAAAAGAGTGATACCTCTTACCTCTGTGTACAAAAGTGGTACTTATACACACAAAAGTGCAACTTGAAAATATGAAGTGTAGTTTGGATAAATGAACAGTTCTTTCTCATGTTCACTTTAGACTTCTAGAAAAATTCATTAGTGTGAAAAACATTGACTTCAACTCCTTAATTTTGTAAATTAACCTCCAAAACTCCATGTTTTTGTAATTATCCTTATGAAATAAGGACATTATTGACATCTAGTAACTTTTCGGCCCTTTGTGAACACCATATTAAGAAGTAATAAATATTGAATAGTCAACTATATACCATTTACCCAAATCTGAGAGGAGGTTAATGTAATTTGCCTATTTATTTTATTCGATTTCTTGCCTCTAGCTTGTAATGCGTTATAAAATATAGGCAAAAGTGTAAAAAAAATCTTGAATTATCATTAAAAGTGAAAAATACCCCCTTGAACTAGCTAGGGTTGAAAATCGAACCCTCATCTATACCAATGTTGTAAAAAGGACCCTCCCGATCAGCGGACTATATTTTTCGGCGTCCGTTCTTTCGCACGCAGGTGAATTTTCAAACAACGCCCAAATTACCCCTAGAACTATCAAGAAAGTGTAAAAAAATCCCAGAACTATCAAGAAAGTGAAAAATAACTCCCTGAATTATCTCGGATTACAAATCAAACACTGAACTATACAATTTATTTTGTTATTATTTCAAATCATTATTATTACTACTACCACCACCACCACTACTACTATTATTTTTTATTATTTACACTATTTTTTTTGATAATTTATGAGTTTCCATAAACTGTTTGTAGGTATATAGATCCATCAAACAACTAATCAACCAATTTTTTTGTTATTATTTTAAATAATAATAATAATAATAATAATAATTATTATTATTACTATTACTACTACTACTATTATTAGTTATTGTTGTTGTTGTTGTTGTTGTTATTATTATTATTATTATTATTATTATTTGATAATTTATGAGCTTGAAAAAATTATTTATAAGTATATGGATCCATCAAGCAACTAATCAAGCAATTTATTTTTGTTATTATTTTAAATTATTATTATTATTATTATTACTACTACTACTACCACTATTATTATTATTATTAATATTATTATTGTTGTAGTTGTTGTTAATTCACATGGGCTAAACCTAAAAGTGATTCATATATCTTGCAACGAAGCAATTTATTTTTGTTATTTTACTATTATTATTATTATTAGTATTACTACTACTAATATTATTAGTTATTATTATTATTAATATTATTATTACTATTGATATTGTTTATTATTATTATTCAAAATTGTAAAAAACTCCCTGAATTATTGGTTAGTTATAAGATGGCCCCTGAAGGATATTATGGATATTGTACATTTCTGATATTTTAAAATTTTATTATATATTAATAAGTGAGGATATTTTGGTAATTTTGACCCTCTAAACGTCGAAAAATGTGATCCGGTGATAGGAAGATCCTTTTTGCAACGCTGGTATAGATGAGGATTCAATTTGCAATCCCAGATAATTCGAGGGTTACCAGCTTAACAATTAATCGTAGTGTGAAAATAAAGTAAATAGTTTAATATTATTATTTTGTTTGAGAACTGACCATGGGTGATACCAATTTTGAGTCAATTAGTTTTAAAAGTTTAATGTGGCTACAACATTAAACCAATATAAGTACATTAAATGAGAAAAGAAGAGGAAGAAGAAAAAATTGGTCGAAATGTTCAAAAATAGGTAGAGTTAGATCCTCATCACAAGAGACTAACTTTATCAAGACGTTGGTATAAATGGAACAATTACATGTTACGAGAAAGATTGATTTGGATCTCAACTCTCATTCATCTTGAAATTCAACACCATGGCTCCTCAGAGTCTGAACTAGACTACTGACTAGCTTTTAGAGAGAGAGAGAAGAGAGATTTCAACTTTCTAATTCGAGAAAAAGAGAGTGAAAAGTGAATGTCTCTTTTGTTGGGTCCAAAAATGGTCCAATCAAGTGGTGAACAGAATGCGTTTTAATTATTAATAAATACAATTAAATGAGATGTACAAATTGTTCACCATTCAAAATCTTTTATGAATAAAAGAATCTAAATCAACCTAGCTACCTCTAGTTAGCCTCCTCGAACATTACATGTTAAACCATTGAATAAAAAGATTTATTTGACAAACGTCAATTTTTGGCAATTCAGATTTTTCTTCAATTCTGTATGTATATGTGAGTATATATATATATATCCCAGTGCTGCTTAATTTGGTGAAATTGGGAATTGATCATGATTCATTATTAAAT